CCCACCCCAATGAAATATAGTTTCTCTTCCACCCAGCTAATCTCTTCTCAACCCTTTCCACCATTGGGGCCCAAAAGCTAGCTGATCTAGGGTTATCTCCTAGAGGTAAGCCTAAGTATTTCATAGGCCACTCACAACCTAAGGAGTCTGCCAAGCTCTTCAAAAGTTCCTCATCGATATTGGTTCCAACCATTAAGTTCTTCAACCAATTAATCCTTAAGTTGGACATTCTCTCAAATAGTTTCACCCCCAACTTCAAATTTTCCACCCCCTCTCTATAATCTCCATCACAAAAAATCAGAATATCGTCTACAAATTGCAAATGAGTGACCAAAATATTATCTCTCCCTATGGACCAACCCCTAAACAATAACAAGCAGTTTTCTCTTGAAATCAGTTTGCTTAGTACTTTAGCCACCAAAGTGAACAGAAAAGGAGAGAGAGGGTCACCTTGTCTAAAGCCCTCAAAGAAATCATACACCGTCCAATTAACAATAATTGAGTAGTGAGTAGACTACAAGCAACCCTTAATCCATTTACACCTCAATTCTCCAAATCCACACCTCCTCATAATATCAATTATAAATGCTTGTGACCAGACTGATAGGTCTAAAGTCCCCGGGCCCTATAGCATTGTTCTTCTTTGGAATCAACCCTAAAAAAGTAGAATTCATCCCCGCACTGATTACCCCCCTTCTATGGAATTCACATAAAACTTTGAAAAGATCATTTTTAATTATGTCCCAACAATCTTGATAGAATGCCATGGTGAATCCATCAGGCCGAGGGGTTTTTGATATATTCATAGAAAAAACTGCTTCCTTGATCTCTTCCTCTTCAAACAATCTCTCCAAAAAATGCACTTGATCCTCCTCCAAAGTCTCCCACTCCAACCCTTCAACCAACCACTTTTCATTTAAAGGCCTTCTATAGATAGACCTAAAATGCTCCAAGAAAGCCTTTGCGATCTCTGTCTGATCTGTAATCTCACTCTTCCCCAGCATTAGTGAACTAATTAAGCTCTTCCTTCTCCTTCCATTTGCAATGGCATGGAAAAATTTTGTATTACCATCCCCTTCTTTGATCCACCTTTCCCTTGATTTCTGCTTCCAAC